TTTTTCGCAAACATCACTAATTTCTAAAAGGTTCAGTAATTTGTTTATGCCTGTGGTCCAATTACTGATGTTTTCTTTGTCCAAATTGGTGCCAAGTTTATAGGCCTCAGAGATCAGAGTGTTTTCTTCCATATGTTTTATTTTCAGCCAGTAGTTAATCATACGTTTGATGCTTGAGATGATAAGTGGATATTTTCCCAGTTCAAGTAAACATGCCAAGTTTGTAGCTTTACAGTTTACTTGTAGTAGGTACTTACACATTTTGTGATGTACCGGATTCGGCTGATACCCCGCCCATGGGCGATGTTTCATATAGTGGGCGATGTTTTGGTCCACACATTGCCTGACTGAACCAACAAACATTTTAACAGATCCCAATTTTCACGTCCGACATCTTGCATCGAGCGCGCTATTTCAAATAATATGCTAAAATAATTTACTGTGAAGTTGAAACGCGTAAAAATCCAATAAATCCAATGCTGTATACGAATTGTTGTTGTATGAAAAATGGTGTATGTTTGTATTTTATGCAAGTATTTATCACCAATTTCAAGAGTAAAAGTCGTAACTTTAGAAGGTACGAGTATTATGGCTCGTGAATACATTTCACTTACGTTTATTACACTCAAATAAAATCTGCGCTTGAAATGAATGCTGTTTACGAAGTTTGAAATACACAAGCCTTCCTGATTCAGCCTCTTGGTTGATTTGACAATGGTAGGTATCGTTAATGTTTAATCTTTGTCTGTATCGCATTCCTGACAAAAAGTTCAAGATCGGTAAGCAGGAAATTGGCGAACTAAAATGTCTCCTGCGTTTCACATGCGACATGATTATTAAAAAACACCGAGTTAAGCGGTCGTGTACGTTCTAGAAAGCTAACCTTGCGCACATAATCTTGTATTTGACGTGTTTTTTTTTGTCCAAAAAAAGACGTTCCCTTTCAGTAAACTCTTCGGGTTCGTGGTATTTGTGAGAGTTGACAGGTTTTTTGAACAAATGATAGGTAACTATATTAATTTGGGTGAAGCTGGGTGGCCCAAATTTAAAAGTCATTGCCCAATGCCGCACGTAACTAAAACACATGGTTAGTAGAGATCAGTCGAAATGTACGTGAATAATGCGATCGAAGTGTGCTGCCCAGAGTTTATTATATTACATATTCACTTCATTTCGAATAAAATAATTCACCATTGGGAACATCGATGTCGCCCATGTTTATGTTTGCGTAATTATTACGAGTGCAATGCATTATAAAGTCTGTAATATAAATTACTTGAGTTTGCATAATTATTATGAAAGCATTACAAAGTTGAAATATTCAGAGCCGGTACAATATTGTAAACAAATTTGCGTCATTAGAAAAGCAGCGCACCAAGTAAACGATGTTGATATATTCAAAGCCAGAGTTGCAGACAAGTTATGTGATTACAGTATCGTCGGATATAATAACAATTTTACTAGGCCGATGCCCAGAGCACAAAAGAAAAAGGTTGCTATGGTAACGTGCCAGTTGAGTGCGTGACTTGGGGTCAAACTTCGGTCAACACACACTTGATGTCAGCAGTATCGCATCTTGAATTTTCAAGGTATATCGCCGCACAGCAACAGTTTGTAAAGAAGTACTTGAAGTTCAATTGCGCCCAAAATGATTTCGCTGATTACTCGGTTGTCGCAGCGTGTGTTGTGTCATGTCCATGATGCACCCCGTTTCGACTTTGGCTTGCTTTTCCTTCTTGTTCACGTAATGCAATCTCTCACCAATGTATTAAAACACTTTGAATTTATACTTTGAATGATTATATTTGGTCAACGCGAAACATTATTCTTTCTAAACATTTTCTGAGATCATTTTTATCAGTGCAGGGTTATTTTTCCGGACAAGATGGGCTTCGTAATATCTGCCATAACATCGCCTGGGCGATCTTTTGGTCCACATTTTTCTTAAAAAAAACGAATCCTCCATAAGATCGCCCAGG